GGGGGAAAAAAAAGAAATTTTAAGAGTTTTAGAATTTATAAGTGGGATTTAAAGAAATGAAAAATTCAAAATAATTAGTAGGATACTAATAGCAACATTCTTAAATTTACATTTACGTAATATGAATTCACAATACCAACAAATTTTCTTAAGTTAGGCAATTGACTTGGAATTTGGATGGTGAGACGAGGTGTTACACAAAATGTTATTGGGGGACGTGGGCCGTTTTAAGCAATGAGAAATGGCACACACCCACCCTTGTGCAGCACATGGCCGAACTTGTGTGATTCATTTATTTCGACAAAAAGCTTCGGCCTACCCAATCTTAAAAAAAAAAACAGCTAGACCTACCTCTCCCTCCCTTTAACCATGGCCCATAAGTATGATGTTACTTTTTTGTTACTTCCACAAAAAATACACATACTAAAAACTATATTAGGTATATATTTTTTGTACCAACAATTTTTTGTATGTAAATGAAAGGATGTTGGATTTGTTTAGTGCATAAAAATTAAAAGAAAAATGAAATTACTTATATATTCATATTGTTTGAGTAACCAAATGAAAAAGAATTTTTTTACAAATTCCCATTTATGTTCTTCTAATTCTCCTAACTCAATAAAAATAAATAAATAAATTAGTCTCTTTCTTTTTTTCATCTTTTATCTTTTTTTTTTTTACTTTCCCTTTTTACTTTCATCTAGGAATTCAAGATCCGTATACAACATTCAAGTGTTGTTTTCAGTAAATGCCAAAGTAATACTTTTTCAATTAGGACTCTCTCTCTCTCTCTCTCTCTCTCTCTCTCTCTCTCTCTGCGTGACAATAGGTTTAAGTTGAAACTGGTTCATCATTTCAAACCCATTATATCACAAGAGAACTTGTTTGGGCTCAAATAGTTGACGACGGGCTTAGCCCAAGAATTACTGCATCGAATTCCACTTGCCCAAGAAAATAAATGTTTGACGCTGGCCCACATTTACACCAAATGTTTAAGGGGGCGTTTGCGGTTCGGTTGCGGTTTGAAAACCTCTAATTTGTCATTCGTCTGTTAGATGGACGAATTAAAAAAAATCAATTCACATCCGTCTGTCAAATTGACGGATGTGGATTGAGGGATTGACGAATGAATGCAAATCAGTTTGGCGGTTTAAATTTTTACAAATTTTGAACATAATATAACAATTTGTTAACAATTTTTTTTGGATAATAATCCAACTCGACATAACCAAAATATTATCAAGTAAATTGTCAAATACCAATAATAAATACATATAAGAAAATCATGAATTATCAAAACTATTTCATTATTTTTTTTTATTCAAAAACTATTTAATTTGATTTTTTTGAAAAAATTACAAAATTAAACCTTATATTTTCCACACAAAAATACCAAATATCAACCTTTGTCATTTGATAAAAGGATTTCCAAATTGAAAACACAACAGAATATCTAAAGTCTTTTTCAATTGAAAACACAAACAAAATATATAAACAAATTGAAAACACAAAATCTTACAAATTACTAAGGGTGTTCGCGGTTTGGCAGTTTGGTTGCGGTCAAAGGAACCTTAAATCTGTCATCCGTCTAAAATTAGGAGGATTGGAAAAAATAAATCCACAATTATTCGCTCATCATCATGCATCCGTCTAAAATGCGACGGATCGATTTGGTTCAATCAGTTTGGACGGATCAGAATATCCGCTACTCATCCCTAATTTAAACGGTGGGCGTCCATCTAAAAAAAATTATTAAACAGTGTCCAAGTACCAGGTTGCAATCTTCATGTAATACTACAAATGAAAATTTGTGATGCACATTAAGATAATTTATTTATTTATTTTGCATATTCTATTAATTTGGAACATTAGGTAAATAATACAACAATTACTCTCCATCTACATACGATTTGTTTAGTGTAACTTTTTATAAATTGAAAGTTAATAATCAAAATAAAAGTAAAAAATACCCTTCTTCAACTTTTTAGATAATTTAATTTTTTAAAAATTATTTAAACTAAATTCTACCTAATAAAATGTAAGTGAAAATTACACCATATAATATGATATAAAATTTTAAATTAAAATAAATTATAAACAATTTATTTAAACTGTAACAAAAACCCATTCGTGAAACTAAACTCGTATTTTAAAAACTGTCGATTCCCATAACCTAAAAAGGAAGAGATTGTGCGATCTTCCTTAACATATCTCTCTATCTGAAATTATTAAAGGAGGAGGGAGAGAAATGGGGAGGGTACCTTGTTCGAAAGTGGGTTTGGAAAAGGACCTCGGTCTCCCACTGAAGATAGATCGCTCACTAAATACATTTGGGCACATAATCAATGGCCAATGTATCTTTGCCTAACACAGCTGGTAGTAATCTTCCCTCTCATCCATCCATTCATTGTCTCATTCATTCATTCATTGCTAGCTAGAATCTATCATTCATTACTCAGTAGCATAGTTGTAAAAACAAGCTGATACGCTATATATCGGCCGATACGTATCAAAAAAATAAGATACTACGACGAATACAGATCGGTATACCGCTATGATTGAAAATCGCAGGCGTATCGGCCGAGTCCCGGTACGTATCGGTCTGTAGCCATTACACAAGCTGCGACCGGCCGATACTCACCGGTTCGGACCGGTACAAGAAAGAAAAAGCTGAAAAAACTGTGAAATAATTTTTAAAATTTCACCGCCGCGACACCTAATTCCCGATACGTACCGATCGATACTGCCAATACCAATACTCCACGATCGATATCGTTACGTTACCCGATACCACGATTTAGAACCATGCTTGGTAGTAATTCTCATGATTATTTCACAACATGTAAATGATGCAATGATGATCTCATTTCTCATTAAAGACGTCAAGAAAAGAGAATCCACTCGAAGGAGAAGAAGAAAACCCCACCTTAAAGTTTTTAAGTGGTAGTTATCCAATTCAGGCAACAGACGATGGTGGAACAACTATAAAGGTAAAATACATGCATGGGCTGCAATGGAATTAATGATAAGATCATGCACTTTAATTTGAACTTGTACAGATCATAGTCCTCAAGAGGGAGTGCATGTCGGCTTGTTGGCTCTTAAGAAAGATGGTGGCATTGCCGCCATGAAAAGAAAACAGGGTCCTGTTCTTCCTCTTTTTTTTGAGGTCAGTGGCGACTTTAGGAATTTTTGTCAGTGGTGTTAATCAAAAATTTAAATATCATATATTTTACAGAAAATTCACATTAATCATTATATAACTTATGGAGAAAAAAATCAACAAATTAATTTAAATTTTAAAATTATAAACAAAAATATTTCAATATATTGATACTATTGTTTAAGCAAAAAGACATGCTAATATCTAATATGAGTTCAAAATTGGTAGGTTCAAAAGAGTAAGACTTAAAACTATAGATTCAAAATTGTATTTTAGTGGGTTCAATTACTAATTTTTTCCCCAAAATCTAATATTTATATAATAAATAAATAAAAAAATTCAGCCAGGGGGTTCGGGTGACACCCCTGACCAAGCCTTGGAGCCGCCCCTGTTTGAGGTTGTTGATGGGCATGACATACGGCACATGTTCAGCTATCTGAGCCCACCACAAGATGGGACCTAGGTTTTCTATTCTTATCATTAGCAAATCATGTAGACTAATTTAATTACATGATCAAGATGAGATTGACAAAATCCCAAAGCTCTATTTCCATTGTCTTTCTAAGTTTACTATACCAAAATTAAGCATGGGAGGGTCTTTGACGGACACCACCAATTTCCACCCAAAATTCATTATCTTATCTTACAAGTTGATCAGATCAAATCGGTCCATACAAAACTGAACATGTCATAGACTAATGCTAAATTTTCATTTGTGGAGGGAAAAATAAAAGAAGTCCTTAAAACCAATACATATCAGTGTACATTGACCCTCTTCTCCTTTTTTTTTTCTTTTCTTTTCTTTCTTTCTTTCCTTTTTTTTATTATTTTATTATTATTATTATTTTTTTTGAATATATAGAAGAATTTTTATGCAGTCTCTGAATTTTGAATTTGTAGAGAAATCTATAGTGAGGAATGAAAAATCAAGAAAAAAGTTAAAAAAAGAAATGAAAAAACTTCTACTTCATTCACTTTTGTTTTCGTTTTGAAAAAGTACTTCAAAAATTATTTCAAAATGAATTATGTGAATAAAACTTATTCAACAACAAACACCACGTTAAATTTGAATTTATATTATACTTTTTTGAGATATATACCTTCTCCAAACCTCATTTAGCTAATCCAAAGGGGGCATTGATGACTTGTTAGGTAAGTATTAATTTTCATTTAACTAAAATTTAGTGCTTGCCTCTCTACCTCGGTCTCTGTAGAAATCTACTCTTAATTTTTCGTAAGAGGGGGCATCAAGGACAGATGTAAATATCCCATTTGAATAGACTTTGATCATCTCTCATTACATAAAATTATATATCTAACAGTTATGAAATAAAAATATAAATTTATAATTATTTTAAATTAAAAAAATCATTTTACTTAGCCCTGGTTCGGTTTTCCTCTTGGGTTAAAAAATCACAAAATAATAAAAAAAAAATCAAAAATCACAAAAGGACAAAAAAAAAAAAATTGTCATTCCAAAATTAAAAAGTCAAACAAGAAAACCAAATAAATAAAAAAGTGTCAGACTAAAAAAGTTAAAAAAATTAAAAAATTAACTAAAAAATCCATTACCAAATGACGCCTTACTATTAAATGATATAATAAAACTTCTCCATTATAAATATATAATGAATATATAATGGAGAAGACAGCCTTTGGTTTGATTTTGTGTTGGCAGCTTAAACTATCGCATGCTTGGTCCAATTAATAGGACCCATATCAACGCAGTCCCCAAGACTTAAACATCCACATGCTTCATGGCTAGTCAGCCACCCCATGTTAATTGTACGCACCAGTCTTGAAATGTATTAATATTTTTTTATGAAAGTTTTGTTTGTAATTAAAACTTGTTTGGCACTTCCAAACTCAGCTCAATTATTAAGAAGAAGAAAAGAAAGTTACAGGAAAGCACCTAAATGTACGAACTAGCACCACCATGCTGCATTTCTCATACATATTATCCACTAAACATACACACGTGTTTCCATACTGCTATACTCAAATACCTGTATAACCACCGTATATCTCCTCTTACCTCGACCTCTAGCTCTGTCACAAACTGCTGATCACCATACAAACAAACTTTACGTACTAGGATTATTATATGCTATTTCTTTATGTTCTTCTCCAATGGAGTGAGTATTCATATATATTTATATATTTATAATTTTTTGGATGCTACACTTTTAATCGAAAACTGCCTTTGAGTCTCCGAAAACCATGCGCTCCGAGACGGACCACAACCTTGCAGCTTCGGTAGAGTTGGATCCCAATTTGGATGTTGAAGCTTCGTTGCAGTCTGCTAAATACTTTCCAGAAACGTTTTCAAGCCTCGGATGCGTAGCAACGTAGCAAGTCGTCGCAGCGGCCTGAACAAAAATTCAAATTCATTAACACACTTGCACCTACTATAAATACTTTCAATAAGATATATAAATTAAGTATATATCGTCAAAAATTTGAGCGAGTGATTAATAAACACTACCTGAGGAATTGTTTTCAAGAACTTGGAAGCCAAGAAGAATACCAGATCTGCATATTTTATCGCTTCAATTTTACAACCTCAAGACTCAACTAGATGCGTATATATATATATATATATATGCATGAATCTCAGATTTAGAGAATAGTAGCGACCTGTTATGGGGCCTTCGCGGTCTCTGGTGAGTCTGGTTCTCACAATACCTGGATGAACGCAATTCACTGTCACGTTTGCCTCCATTTCCTGCAATATTATATTAGGACACCATTAATTCTAAATATTCTTGAGAAAACATAATAAATTTCGCTTTTGTTTTCATTTTTCATTTTTTCTATTAAAAAATGATAGTAATTAATTGCCTTGAGTCTCTGAGCGAGTTCCTTGGTGTGCAAAACATTAGCGAGCTTCGAGAGCGCATAAGCACGTGTCGCATCGTAAATACTGTCAAAGACCGAGACAAATATTTCAGAGCAGATCAAACTTAAAAGAAACAATAATAAATTTCATTTTCATCTCATTTATTCCGAATCAAGCAGTATTTATTTACAAGTTTCCCGATTTTCTAAGATTTCACTATTCAATCCTTCTCTCTTACCTTTTATTTTTGGTTATCAGCCCGAGATAACGAATCAAGTCGCCGGAAAACCAGCTGTGAATGCTCGACGACACGTTCACTATGCGTCCTTGAACGCCGGTGTCCTTTGCCGTTTCGATCATCTTGTTCAGCAACAGTTTCGTCAACAGAAAGTGACCTAAATTTTTAAACAGGAAACACCTTAGCTGCCTCTGAATATTAATTCACTATTTATGTGCGCATTTGAAAATGTGGTTAATAAAATTTACCTAAATAATTGGTAGCGAAGGTCATCTCCACTCCATCTTCGGAGATAGCGTGCCCGTGTGAGAATTTTCCGGCGTTGTTTCTAACAAACAAGAGAAGCAGATTAGCATATATACAGATGTATCATGTATATATAATTGATTGAAGAGATTAGTTTTTTGGAGTTAGTTACATGAGGAGATTGAGAGGCAAATTGAGAGACTCGAACTCAGCAACGAAGCTTCGAACGGAATTGAGAGAGCTAAGATCAAGAACCATTAGAACAATCTCCGAATCAGGAAACTCCGATACAATACGAGCCTTTGCGTCCTCTGCGGCCTTGAGGCTCCGAGCCGGGAGGACCAGCCTAGCGCCGCGCTTGGCTAAGACACGCGCCGTCTCAGCTCCGATTCCTGACGTGGCGCCTGGTGAACCACACGATCGAACAAGCACGCGTGAGTATCGTTATCTCGTGCACTTGCGGCCCTATTTCGACGATGATGATTAAGCATGTGGAGTACTCTGCTTACCTGTGATGATGGCGGTGATGGAGCACAGATCGGGGCAGCTCTCCGTGACTTGCTCGGCGGTGGACTTGGAGCCATAGCCACTCGGGCCGATTGAGCCGATCAGGTATTTTCCCGTTTCAAGCATTTTTGCTTCTTTCTGTTATCGTCCTGTGTCTATGTTCTCTTCTCTAATTGGACCTCTGATTCTCTGACTGTGGGGGAAAGTAAAGTAGCTTAGCTATACACTTCGCAGAAAATATGAAAGACGGAGTTCAGACAGGGGTGGCTGTTGTCAGGCATGCACGCACTTGGTCCGTCTGCATTTACTTTTGAGCGAGAGAGAGAGAGAGAGAGAGAGAGAGGGGGTGGTAGGGGGATGGTGATTTGGCTAGTCTCGGTTACCAGGTGGAGAGAGAGAGAGAGAGAGAGAGAGATGGGTGGTCTGATTAGAAACGTAGGAGAAAGGTGGATTGGAAATGAGAGTGTTTTATAATGTTCCTCCTAGTAAAGTTAGGGAATCAATCAAAGTAAAGATTGGGGGAGAGCATTGCATCTTTGTCATTATTGATTGAGATTAAATTTTGTATGATTGCCTTTATTATTGTTTATTACATAGTCTAAATTGGCATTAAAAAAAATAAATTTAAAACAAATGTTCACTAATAAAGATTTTACGGTGTTTTTTTTAATATGACGAATATTATAAACTAATTTACACACAATAAATTAAATTCTCATAATTAAAATAAATTTCTTTGAAATAAGATTTAAACCATATCCACATAGTCTTAAGAATTGTTAAAACAAAGGATAAATTACATTGACACCTTCTTAAATTTGATTCAATTACATTTTATTCTCTGATATTTTAAAAGTTACATTCTCACTTTTATGGTTAATACTTTTATTTTACAAATTTTCTGTTTATATAAAAAGTAACAACTTTTAGTAAAAAAATAAAAGAAATAATATTAAAATAATAATAAAGTAAAGGAAAGGAAAAAAACATAAGAAGTAAAGCAAAGCAAGAAAAGAGAGAATACATAATTTCAATATCTTCATTTCAATTAAATAATTACAATGACGAGAAAGTTAGTGAAATTTTCAAATGTTAAGGAGTGATATGTATTAAATCCAAATCTCAATAGTTTAAATAACAGTAATGGTAGGTATCATAAAAAATCTTTCACGAAAATAATCATGAAGGCTTTGTGATTTTTGGATTACACTTAGAATAAAACACTACACACTAATCAAGGTAATTCAAAGATCATAAATATTTCATGATCATTTTTATGAAAAAAATTTCATAATTCCTAACTTTTTTCTTTAAATAATTACACACATCACATCATATATGAACCTCATTTATTGTCACATCACTATCACTGAGTTATCTTTAAAGTTACAAAACTAGAGCTCTTAATTTTTATTCTTTTTTTTCACAGCTTTATATTGATCTTTTACACGTGTATGAGAGTGAAGCATTATTATATTATCGTTTTTTTTTAAAGTCCCTTTATTCCAAAATTTGAATCGGAGAATGCTAGATTTCTATTTAATTTAATAATTCAAATCATTTACTTTTTAAAATATTTCATGTAATTTATTTTAAAAAATTGGTTTATTCGATAACTATAACTAATTCAATTCATTATGTTTGTCATTAAAAAAATGTATTGTTTATTTTTTTTCATCCATTTTTTTGAAAAAAATGTGATAAGTTAAACTAATTAAGTTAAAAAATGTACGATCACGAAATAATCTTCTCGTATAATCCTGTTGATCAAGTTTGTACTCCTCCAAAAGTCGTCGTTTTACTACCTGACCTTTCAAACCATTGCAAAAAATTAATCTGCTAATATTCCACTAATACTACAATAATACATATAGGTCGCACTTAAAAATTTAAAACCATCCTACTTTTAATTCAATGTGTCATAAAAAAAAAATGTGTCAAGTGAATTTTTTTTTTTTTTTTATCTCAGCAGCCCGCAGCCCACCTCCACAAAGAAACAAATCATTTTTTATTTTATTTTTGAGATTCCAAACATATCTCTCAATCCTCTCTCCCTTTCTCTCTCTCTCTCTCTCTCTTCAAGCCCTAACCCTAGTCTTCTGCATATCCTTGATCACCCGGCAGCCGTTCGACCAGCTGAGAGTGACCAACGGCAGCGATCGGCGAGCGGCGGCAATGGCAGCAATCGGCGAGCAACAGCGGCGACTGAGGTATTTTCTTCTCTTCTATTTTCTTCTTCTCTTATCTTCTTCTATTCTTCTACTATTTTGCTACTTCGATTTTTGTTGAAATTGACCCTTGATTCTTTATTTTTGTTGAAATAAACCCTTGATTTTTGCTCTATATCTCTCTCTCTCTCTCTCTCTGCCCCCTCTCCCCCAATTTCAAACCCTAACTATAATTTTCGATCTCTCAGATCTCAGCCCCTTCTCTGTTCTATATCACAAAAGTCATTTTGATTTCATTTCGCATATTTTGAAGTGTTTCATATGTTAAAAATGCTAAATGTTCGATGTGTTCATTTACATGTTTGTTTATCTGCATTTTGTTGATCTTTACCTCTCTTTCTCTCTCATTCACTCATCATATTATTTTCCTTGTGGCCTTCACTTTGTGTATTTAATTCAATTCAAAGTATGAAACCAGGTGCCATAGTGATTGTTTCTTATGTTTTGAATGGCTTACGATTGAAATTTGCACTAATTATGGCCCAGTAATTTAGTAAATTAAAGACAATCTTGGAAACATAAAGATTTATGGGCTGTGAGTATCTAAAGGAACCAAAAAGTCATGGTACAAAAAGTTTACTCTTAGACTGCCCTTAAATTTGAAATTGAAGTTTTATGGCTTTCAGTACATACCCAAGTATATAATTGTTGGAAAACTATATAAATTGACAGAGCCCCCTTCTATTTGAATGTTCTGTTTCCTAATGATGGCATTGCAATTAAACATGTAGGATTCACATTGGAATTACCCAAGTATTTAAATGTTTCCTAATGTTTTGTTTCCTATGCAACGATCAGAAAATTGGTAATGAGATCACTTCTAATGCCCATCTACTTCCAGCAACCAATGCCAATTACATAGATGGTCTTGCTATTTTTGCCTATATGAATTCGACAAGGTATCTCTTTCTCTCTCTCTCTCCTTTTCTCATCTTTGTTCCTGTGCATATATTTCAACTTACTCCTTTTGTTTTCTTATTGGTTCCATTACATAACAGTGATCCACGAGGTATAACGGCTACAATTATAGAACTGAAGCAAAAAACCTGCTCCAATCATGGCCCTTTTCTCCTATGCTTGATATGATGCAACAACAGACCAATCCAACAAGAAACCCTCAAATTGAAATCTCTAGAATGATGGCAAGTAGGCATGAAATCATTAAGGAACCACCAGTGCAAGTTGCTCTAGAAGATAAGATGTACGTAGCGGTGGGAAATGAATTGAAAGAGAACAAATCAACTGTGTTATGGGCATTGCACAACTCAGGAGGAAGGAAGATATGCCTCCTTCATGTTCATGAACCGGCGCAATGGATACCCTTAAGTAATTTCTTGCTGCACGCTCTCCATATATATGTTGCTTGTTGAATTTCTATAGAATTGCTATTTTGTGTTATACTCAGACCAATCCAACAAGAAACCCTCAAATTGAAATCCCTAGAATGATGGCAAGTAGGCATGAGATCATTAAGGAACCACCAGTGCAAGTTGCTGTAGAAGATAAGATGTACGTAGCAGTGGGAAAGGAATTGAAAGAGAACAAATCAACTGTGTTATGGGCATTGCACAACTCAGGAGGAAGGAAGATATGCCTCCTTCATGTTCATGAACCGGCGCAATGGATACCCTTAAGTAATTTCTTGCTGCACGCTCTCCATATATATGTTGCTTGTTGAATTTCTATAGAATTGCTATTTTGTGTTATACTGATATTGTGCAAAGATCATATCCGTTGACCCAGATTTCTTGAATCGAATCTATGATCCAAACTTGATATAGTATTGCTTCTTGGTTACTTTGTGGATAAAAACCAAATTAACATATAGTACAATCTAAAGTCATGCTTAATTTTGTTCTTTTGCTGCCCAGTGTTTCGATCTTGTTCCTATATTGACTTGCGTATACATTAAAATTGTTTGTAGGTTTATCAAATATTAACGCAAACTATTATGTAAAGCATATTTTATGCGAGCTCATTCTTTTCTGACTTTACATACACATGAAAATGTCTTAACAAGAATAAATATGCATTTGTTCGCTTGCTTTCAATCCAACGTCATATGAGAAATCATATCTATTCTCAAAACCTTATTCTAGTAGAGTTTGTTAGTTTGAAAATTTAGCAAGGCTTGTACAGCGCATGGAAGCTTCTATATTCATATATAAATATATTATTAGTTTTTCTTTTTGGTGAGAAAAAAAGAAAAAGATCTTTTATTGGGTGACGCATAACTTATGATCCTTTAGTTTTTTGAGAATAATATAATCGTTTAAAGGCCACTACGCAGCTCCAATCCTATTTTCCACGATGCTGTGAGGGTTGGATTGGTTGACAGTGGAATTTATTTTTGTTCTTTGATTAATGAAAGTGAATATTTATCTTTGAAAGCATTTTCTTTTTTCTTGGCCTGTGTTAGTTACTGGGTTGTCTAAACTTCTGTGATTGGCTAATGCAAGTTGGTTTGTTTACACTAATTAAAATGAGTACAATTAGTTGGAGTAGCTTTTATGTGGTTTTTGTCCCCTTAATCTTAATACATTTTTATTATACCCATTTCATAAACAAGCAGGGAGAGTTGTATTCATTTTAGCTGTTTCTTGTTTTCTTCTCGTAAAAATTTCCTTTGCCCCCTCTCCCCCCTCCCCATTTGCTCTTTCCCCCCTTCCAACACTTCATTTATATTGCTTCTGATGTGCAATTCTCAGTGATTCTTGACACGGGTTTTATTGGATTAAGTGTAAAGATGGTTTTTATTGATTACTTAAACATGCATGTTTATGTATTCTATTTTCGACATCTTTTGGTTTTAGTGGGTACAAAATTTCCAGTAAGCCAACTGGAGGAACATCAAGTCAAGGCATACCGAGAAACTGAGAAGCAAGATATGAACAAGCTTCTACGTGAATACAGCATGATTTGTGAGCGAGCGGGGGTATTATCTCTGCTTCTAGTTCTTTCACTACATGTAAATTTTATTGTTAGTATTTATAATTATATTGATTTCATGAATCTTGATGTCATGCAGCAGAATGAGTTGATGTTAGTTTTACCAAAAACCATATAAGAAAATTCTATAAAATATTTTTGCAATATATAGCATAAGAGCCCATTACAATGGTTTAGGTTTATGTTTGCAAATAGCTCCATGCTACTAGTTTGATACTAAAAGTTAGGACTTCCTTTGTATTAATGAATCAGTGCACA